GCTACGGCTCGCTGAGCTAAAGAGTCCCGAGTGTAGCACGAAGACAAAAGGATAAGAAAATTTACCTCTGGCAGTAATAGCTCCAATCATATAATCAAAACTGGTCCCATCTTTGCGCCATCTCCAGGTACTCACCATTGGATTAGCATGCACCGTTAAATTTTCCGTGAAATGATCACCCTCACCAACTTCAACTGTCAAAGGTCCATTAATCATTACTCTTGGAGCATCTAAATAAACAATTGATTGAACGCAGTGATATTTTTTAAATTATTCAACGTAATAAAAGTAAAGCTCTGAGTTCGAATAAAACTCACAGAGTACGTTCAGCGGATAAGTCACAACTTTCTGCTCCGTCCACTGCGGATGCGACGCTGTGCAGCGCACCTCCTTACCATGCATGGCTTCGGTCGGAACAAACTCAACGACACTGTCCACCTCGTAACCACCATATTCCCGATTCCTGAAAAAAAAGCAGTACAACCCCGCTCTCTTAGAAAAAATGCAAATGTGGAGGGGCTGAACCAGAAATGCACTGAAAAGCTTCACTCACGATCGATTACTGTGTATTTCATTGAACGACACCGTAGCACCATTTTCAGTGTCCTGGAAATCCCACGTCACTTCTGCAATCGGATTTGATGAGTGAACCAAGCAAATCAATTTGGTGACTTCGCCCGCAATTATTTGCCGTCTGTTTCGATCATCCGGACGAAGGGTCACTCGTCGGGGAGGAACTGAAAAAAAATAATGCTTCATAAAACAGTCGCAGTCATTTTTCGGAATAAAACAATGAAGGCGTATCACATACACAAAACATTTATGGTTTGAACAGCAACTAGCGGCTCATCAAGGGCCCCATTTCTGGCTTCACATCGCAACTGCTGATTGTTGATTGTACGATCCAGAACAAGAGAAACAGCACTTCGTGAGACGTCACCAGATACGGTGCTTCTCGTTTCCCTCAGCTGAAAATCCGCCTGCTGAATGGCTGTTCTTCAGTAAGACCGAAATGCACACAAAGAAACGCTAAATTTAAGGCAAGCTTCTGAGGTTGCAATAATTCTGTTTACAGGCAGAATCAAAACGAGTGCTAGCTGCATTTAATATGCGCATAACAACTGTTGTGCGACAACACAAACAGGCGTGAGCACCAAACATGACAAATGATGAGGCTGCTAATAATAATCTAACCTCTTTCCAGCGAATTTTATTTTTCTGTTTCGAACTTCGCTACAACAACAACAACCATCTGTCAAATCAGGGCACAATCTCTTGAGAAAATTCACAGAAATCTGTGAGACGAACGAGTTTCGTAAATCGTAGTAAAAAAAAAAGAAAATCTGCTGACACCTTTCTACAAAAAACTGTGCACCTAAACAAATCTTCGAAAAATACCTTTTCAATGCCTCTAAACCAAGTTAACATGGCCAGAGGGTTTCCACCATGAGATTCGCAGGTGAGATTCAATGTTTCACCTTCCAGAGGCGTTATCCCTTCGATTCCGTAAATAACTGGTTCCATTGGAGGTGCTTAAAAGCAGTTGGTTCAAGAGTGTTACATAAATACTGGATCCAATTATAATGTCAGTTTCTGTGAACTTACACAGGACACGTATAACGAGTTGTTTGCTTGTCATGCCCTCATCGTTTTTTGCAACGCATTGAACAGTAATTTGATGCTTCATCACAGTGACATCAGTCGGGTAGACAGTCAGATTGGATACAGTAACAGTACCGGTGCTCTGCTCCAGGAACGCATCACTTCCGGACTGGTATGGCTGCCCGTTGATCAGCCAGGAAACTGTGGATGCTGGATTTGACAGTCTAAATGTGCCAAAAATGAAATGCAATGGCGCATTGAGCAAGTATCATCAATTCCACTTCATGTAAACTACCATAAAACGTGTAACTGTTCATTTTTGCATTAACGAATCCTGGAAACAACAGCTTTGTACACATACAAAAGCTTGGCAATATCAAGTGTTGCATCATAGCCCAGTATACATTTTCGTATCCTTCTCATACAAAATCCTCAACAAACTGTCAAAAACCGTAACAGAATGGGAGTAAGTTAAAAAATTTTATTCACTTAAGTTTGAATAAAAAGAGGTGGAAAAAATATGCACCCTGTTCTACACTGCACCGTTACTGGCCTCTCCAATCGAGTTGTTGTTTCGCCGGAAATTTCGACACGATGAGGGGCATCTGAAACAACCAAATACTCATAAAATTTGATGATTTTTGACAACAAGCAAGAAAATTGTGAAACTTTTCATTGCATACACGAAACCGAAAGACGAATGCTTGTCGAAAGCGGCTCTCCTCCGGCGAGATTCGTGGACTGGCAATCATATATGGCACCGTTGTCATTCGCGTCGATCACCATCGAATATGCATTCACTGTTTTCTGAACAAACTGCTTCTTATAACCGGTATAAAAGCATGCCAGTAGGCAAAACAGTTGGAAGCGAAAGAAGACGCAGTGAAAGGTACATCATAAAAAGCATGAGTTTTTCGAGAAAGGAACAGCTACAAGTGGATGAATTTTTCAGAACAAAAATAAAGCATCCTTGGGAAATCGACGGTCAGGTTTTGGAAGAGATCAGGATAAGTTAGTAACATGAGGGTATTAAAGATGCTGCGCTGCATGCCAATTAAAACGTATTATTGGGCAGTAGCAGATGGCGATAAGCCGTAAAGTATCCTCCTAATCTTCTTACGATGGGGGAAAGCCATAATAATAACTTATGCAAATCCGCTATGACGAGGCATGGAAGAAAAAAAAAATAAACAAATAGAAAAATGAATTTTGAAAGGAGGCAAATGTAGTTTCACAGCATTATACGAGTTCATATCACATAAAAAATATAAGTGGACCTATGTTACAAGCTCATTTCTGAAAAACAATTCAACTAACCTTGGAGAAAGTGTCGTAAGAATAGTTGCTGCTTACAGGATTTTGATGAAAAAGCCAAAGAAGCCTCGGCGGTGGATTGCCACCAATCACCGAACATATCATAGTGACATTATCACCCGGTTTTATCAAACCGGGTCCGTTCAAAAGTTCTATTTTTGGAATTCCTGATGGATCTGGAAAACAACTCTCATCAGTGCAATTTACAGTAAACAGTCAGAATTATAGTTTGGAGCTAACAAAGCTACATCCGGCTTTCTAAAATCGCCAATATCGATTCCTCAACCATTTTCCTACAACACTCGCTTTTCAGCTTTTCAGGAAACAAAAACTCACACAAAACGTCCAATGTGACATTAGCTCGGAAATGCGCGGACGTAGGCGGATGCACTGCCTCACAGGTGAGTACTGTCCCACTGTCACTTCGCCTGCAATATACAGGTGTAAGAGATGCGCCATTTTAACCTACTGTAACTTAATTCTCGGGAACTCAAACCCCGCTTCGCCCTGCCATGTCGTTTACAGCGGTTCCGTCTGACGATGTTCGAGAACCAAGCCACAGCAAAAAAAAAAAAAACCACTAGCGAGCCGATTTACTGAAGCAAGCCAGTACATGACACTGGTTTTCCCAGTTACAGCATACACAACCACTAGTACTCTGCCCATGAAATGCTTCAGAAACTATTTATGCATAACCGGGAACTGATTTGGAGTTCAATAAGACTTATGTAGACGGAGAACATCCTTTTAAAATTTCAGATTTCTAGCTCTTCCGGTCCCTGAGTTAGTGACTTACCCACTAAAAACTTTCACGGGCCCATACTTGGTTACCACGCGGGTAAGACAGCCCATTTTGAAAACTGGGGCCTGTACAAGCATGTAGATTAAGTTCCTAAATTTTCACCCCTGTAGCTTTTGTGGGAGAACAGATCAGCGTACCTTGCCTTCCAAGAAAGAACTGCAAAGGCATTGGCTGTGCCGTTCGAGTTGTTTTTTGTTCGTCGTTTAACATTGCCGTCATCAAGTCTGCGTCCGTCTGCATACCAGCTAACGACTGCATGTGGTTTTCCATCAGCTGCCACGCAACTCAGGTCCAGATCGCTCCCTTCGACAACGCTGATCACAGCATCCGGCACATTGTTCTGTATGGCCACTCCTTTCGGAGGTACTGCAAAACGAAAGAACATGAGAGCGACCCGTTAATCCCCAACAAATCTTCCCAATAATCCTCTTATTACTAAGCTATGACGAGCGTTACAAGTCACTAGAACCCCTTTTGTTGGTTATTTGCCGTTCGCCTAAGCCTAACCTACCCTAAAAAAATTGAAAGTTCGGGCTAAAGTGGAAGTCTGAATCGTTGCAACAAAACTGACAGAAAAATGAGGAACGGCAACAGGCCCCAAAAACATCACTGATTCAATAGCCGTTTTGTTCTGTGAGCGAAGATATTTCTAGCAAACCCTTGCTAATACAAAGCGATCGATGCTTGTTTTTCGGGAACAGCTAAAGATGCGTTTAAAATCTCTTTTCAACCATATTTTTCCCAGATTACTACCAGCAAAGCAATGAACTGACGGCCGAATTCTCAAAGCTGACGAAGGACGCAGTCCTATACAGCGGCCAGATTCGCCAACGATTTTGTTACGCAGCTTGATAGTTTTTGAATGAGTATGTGCCAAGACAACGGTATTTTATTGGTAGCAGCTGTAGAAGTGCAAGCAACATTAATCAAAAGAGTTACCCAGAACGGTAACATAAGCAGACGTGCGGAAGCCACCCAAGCCCTGGCGCATCATCTGGCATTCAAATAAACCATCGTCATCCAACGTTACATTCTCAATCCTCAAATGCTTCTCGTCTGGATTATCCAAAACATAGCTGTATCGACCTCCATGACCCGCTAATTTTCCCGCATCATGAAATCTAAAAAAAAAAGCAGTTTCAATTTAGAATACACCCTATTCAACAGGAAGCCAATCTGAATCAAAATTCGCTTGGAGTCTGGAAAAATGAAATGGATTTTTACCCGAGAAGTGTGCCATCATTGCTCCGCCACTGACTGAAAAGAGTTGTTCCGGGCGACGTGGACTGATACGCAGCACACCTTAGGAATACTTCACCACCAATTAGCACGCTCTTCAATAAAACGGAATAATTCACCAAGAAAAACAAAAAAATTTGAGGAATCAACTAAGTGACAGCTTGCACCATACAATGCGCTTTTTCATGCAAATAGCTCACATATAGCTGTGCAAAAGTGACCCAAACAGTAAAATGATGTGCGGGAAGTGCGCATAATTTTACAGTTCATCCTTCCAACCGGTGTTAATGAATCGCTCGCACTCATTCAGTTCTGATGCGGGGGCATCGGCCCGACATTTGTGCTACGGTATACAGAACAGCAAAGAGCGACTAGCGCAGTTACATGCTTCTTTTATCTTTCACGCATAAGGCACAAGACATAGAGCAATCGCCTGAATTTTGTCATCGTGATTATTCGGCCTATTCACTGCAATGAAAGGCACTGGAAATTTGGATTCTCAAATTTACTTTGCTTCCTTCTGGAATGCATATGGACACGAAAGCCGGGCACTCTTAACTACTTCAATCCCACTATTAGATAGACTATAAACCAGAACTCCCAAGCCTGGCGCCCCTCTACTGCGATGCACTATAACCCTGAGACCCCAAGTTTGCGGCTCGCCCCATTCTGAAATCCAAACCCGAATCGGAAATGACAAATTAAAATATAGCGAGACTTGTGAGCTGATTTAGGCCTAAAATTACGGGTTAGGAGTGAAAGCCGATTTCACCCACGCCACACTATTTCGTAAACTAAATTTCCCACCCAAACTGGATGGAGAACAATAATGCGAATAAGACACGCCCAGAATGCGATTTTTATGCGTTTTGTGCTGTGTAACAGCAGTACAAAACGCATATTGTTACGGGTTTGTCTGT